TTGTTGAATAATGCTCAGGTGACCTATAAGGCCCAGGGGCCTCTTGTTTAATGATATGATTTGTATCTCTTGGAATAAGATACAAAATATTCATACTTGACATTCTCTTCTGATTATACATTGTTTTCAAAATGTTTTAAAATATAGGTACACCGAAAACTGGTGAGATAGTCCGTTCAGATGATTATCCATAAGGGTAATATAAGAAATATGAACCTTTGGTATCTTGTCCAAATGGATTGTAAGGTATCCTTATTTTTTGCGAGGAATTTTATTTAAGTACCTACTATTCAATGACAATCTCTTAAGAAAAATTATATATTTTTGAGGAACGGGTCGTCTGACCTTAACATTAAACCAGAAATCTCTGTCAAGACTGTAGCTCAACTGGTTCGTACTTATAACAAAGGATCAGAAAAGAAGCCATTACCATCAGACCAAATCTAAAGAGGGAGTAGCGTTTTAAAGGAATTTCACAGAAATTTCTATTTGTACTAATCATGGCAACCTTGTTCATTAAAATCAAAAACTGATGCACTATTTTATGTATCTAATTGTAGTCTACTTGTGTGCCAAGTTATATCGAAATCAAACAAAAATTGTAGGACAAGTAGTGTTTTAAAGAAATTTCACAGAAAATTTTATTTTTAGTAGTCATGGCAATACTGTTCATCGAAATCAAAAACCGATGAAATATCTTATGTATCTTTGTGTGCCAAGTTATATTGAACTCAGAACAAAACTGTAGTAGGAGTAGCGTTTAAAAAATGTTTACAGACAGACGGACAGCTAGACGGACGGGCGCATTGCTATCGCAAAAACTCTTCTATAGTCTCTGACCAGAAGAGCTAAAAATTACTGTTTCCAATAATGCGATCCCTACTTGTATTTAAAAAGATTATTTATTTATTTGATATATTTTGAAACTTTAGTCCCTTATTATGAATTTAACTTACATTTGAAAATTTCGTCTAGTCTTCGATTGCGTGAAAATTATAGCTAAACTCAATGTTCTAAAATAATTTTGAGAGGCAGAAAAGGAGATTTTTCATACACCACTATTCAGCCCAAAATATAGTCCCTGCTAGTTTTCAAATGCAGTTTACCATTTCTATTTCAAGTTGTATAATTATAAAGAAGAAAGAAAAATATGGTCTTTTAAACCTCTTACATCTAAATATATGACATATCAACAAATATACTTTGAATATTCTATCTAGTAAGAAACCAGAGAAGAACCCCTCTTAAGTTAAATATATCTTTGATGTTTTGGGGAAGATTAGGGGTTTTTTATTCTCCCTTTTTGAAGTAATTCCTCTATACTTGGAAAAGTTTGCCACAGACTTGCTTGATATGCAACTTACGTTTCTTTTTATCATCTAAATTACATGTGGTACCCAATGGTCTTAAAGTAACTATTTCTAATCAAAGTTTTGTTTTTTATACCGATAAAAAATGAAAATTAAATAAATATCATTGCAATAAAAAATCTAGCTCGTGTTTATTTTTGCCAACTAGACAGCACATAGAAAAACTTCTGTGTTTCTTTCTTTCCTTGTATTTGTGCTACTTTTTATGTATAGAATCAGATGAGCTTGTGACCATGTGGAATCGATTTAACATCTAATTATGTAGCACCAAGAATGCCATGCCTTAAGTAGCAAGAGTCCAAGCATGTCAAAGTTTTGTACTTTATGTTTGGAATAATTAGAAACAATAATGTCTTAAATTATTCAAAAGTTGTTAATTCTATTCCTAACCAGAAAGATTTCAGTCTGTCTTCACTGCAATTGTCAGTAAAGAATGATCTATTTCGGTATACATGTACCATTTATACTCGCCTGTTAGTGGTTTTTGCTTAATATAAGTCTAAAATTTAGACAGTTTTTTTTCACTCATGGCTGATGTTAGGTAGCAGACATGTCCCTAACAAAAAAAATACTAAAGAAAACTTCATAGTTTACTATACTTTAATATAATTAAGTAGAGAAGCAAAGTAAAAACTTTGGAACTTTGATTTGCTAAAGTGAAAACTTTGGAACGTCGCTAACAACTGTCAAAATGTACGATCCTCTCCCAATCTGGCCGTAGTTGCATGAGACGAGAATATTTTGTAGCTCATTAAAGTATTAACCAACGTAAGTAAAACATAGTCGGACCTTTCATGCGACCTTTCAATACCCATTCGCAGTGAACGAAATACTTCTGATGAATACTAGTATTAATAGAGAGGGTCTCTCTTGTACCGAAAAAAGAACTATTTTCATTTAAATCTATTTCATTTTAATATTAGTCAGATGTAAACATAGTCTTATATATCATGTATATCGAAAGAAAAAAAAATACTACAAACGAAATATGCGTCATTAGAAATACAAAAAATATTCAGCCTCTTCAACCTCAGTCAAAATGTATATTGTAATTTAATAAATACTAGAATTCAAAATTGATTCTAAAATAATCATGCAACAGTGATGTATTCAAGTAACACAGCTCACTATTAAAGCATAAATGAACCTTTTTACTCAACACAATATATATTATTCTGTGTATTACATGTACTTGTTTTCTTTGTTATATATCCTTAAACATAAGTTGTCCATATTGATGACTCTCTTTTTGGAATTTGGAGAAACGAAGCAATAGTAAAAATCACGATACGTATATCTGAGACGTTAACAGTGATATGTGTTAATTTGTATCAAATCTAAAACATATATATATATATATCTCAGGTCGACTATTCAAATCATTGTATAAATTTAAAAGGAATTTAATTGCTTGTTTACCTCTGTATTTTCAGTTTTAAAAAAATGGTTCTTTTAAAGGATTTGAATATCATTTTATTTATCTCTTTGTTTGTATCTCTTTCTTCCAGCTATCTCTTAAACACCCGCGGGTTAAGATGTTCCCTTGACTAAATAGAAAACACATGCAGAAAAACTTCAATAATTACCATTTACACTTGTATATATAACAAGGGCGTATATAAATATTTTGACAAGTGATATCTCATTGTTCAGGAAAGGTGGATGTGTGTTTCTCTTAGATATTACAGGCAATTTCTAAATTTCATATCATTAAGGGTTGCAACTGCAACGCTTAATGATACACAAGTGTGTATCATTAAGCGTCAAATATGTCGATATTTGCTTGTTTCATTAAGCGTCGATGTTGCACTGCATTTGTGACGCTTAATGATATAATTCTATCATTAAGCGGCAATTTAGCATTAGCAGTTGATGATGTCAGCTATTAATGCAATAATTTATGGCATTAAGCGTGGCAATTGCAACGCTTAATGCTATTTCTATCATTAAGCGGCGTTTTATCATTAGAGGTTGCTACAAAGCATCCTGGGGTAGTGTAGATTCTAAATTTTTCAAATCATGACCCCGGGGATAGGGCCGGGCCACAATGGGGAATCAAAGTTTTACATAGAAATATATAGGAGAAATCTTTGAAAATCTTCTTCTCAAGAACTACTGGGCCAGTTAAGCTGAAACTTATGTGGAAGCATCCTGGGGTAGTGTAGATTCTAAATTTTTCAAATCATGACCCCGGGGATAGGGCCGGGCCACAATGGGGAATCAATGTTTTACTATAGGATTAAACGTTCTTTTTGAAAAATTTATCGATGTGTAAACTCTTGACATTTTACTCACAAACTAAATAAAAGTGCGAAGCACTTTTATGTTAAGTTTGTGAGTAAAATGTCAAGAGTTTACACATCGATAAATTTTTCAAAAAGAACGTTTAATTCTTATAATTCCAATATCGAATTTTTAAAAATATTTAAATTATTTCTCTTTGAGGCCTCCATACAATCCCTTATTTCTGGACGGCGTAGGAATACATTTTACCGTTAAGGAACGTAATCGAGATGAATTTCGATAAAGTTCAACTTAAATTGTCAAAATAATCGATAAATAAACTTATAACAACTAATCGAATGTTGTTTAAGTCAACAAATATCGTAATTACGAGTTTACTTCAGAATAGTTCGTCTTTGACCATGGCCATGTTGACATAAACAACAACTCTCATAGCGAAAGTTGTAGACCGACGACGACTTCAATTTGCACTTGTTTATTCAAATATTGAGAAACAGTATAGAAAGTAAATATGAATTTGATGCTAATAGGGCAAGATTTTGAGGTACGTTTCTTTTCCCTGTCAAAACGATACAGACTGAGCCTATTTTCTACGTATTCATGAACGTTGAGACAGCGATTTTTTAAAATTCACACTCGTGATCGGACAGTGACATAAACATTTTCACGACGTCCATCAGTTCGACAGTCTAGTATGTTGCCAGTTTTGTTTAAGCCCTAATTAAATTTAAAGTTTCTTGTATTCATTATTTAGCCAGAACAGACCCAGAAATAACTGCTTTCATTGTCTATACGATAACCTAGTAGTGTCATCAAGAAAGTAGTTCTGATTGAAAGAATTTATCGATGTGTTAAAATTTTCTGGAACGTGTTCTCGTCCAATCAAAACACAGGAAATCAATAGATAAAATGAAGATTGGAATTATATAGAAATATAAAGGAAAAATCTTTGAAAATCTTCTTCTCAAGAACCACTGGGCCAGAGAAGCTGAAACTAATGTGGAAGCATCCTGGGGTAGTGTAGATTCTAAATTTTTCAAATCATGACCCCCAGGGATAGGGCGGGGCCACAATGGGGAATCAAAGTTTTACATAGAAATATATAGGAAATTTTTTTAAAAATCTTCTTCTCTACTGGGCCAGAAAAGCTGAAACTTATGTGGAAGCATCCTGGGGAAGCGTAGATTTCAAATTATCTAAATTATGATCAATGGGGTAGGATGGGGTCACAGTATGTATTACAAGGGGGAAATCTGGTAAAGAACAGAATGGCCAAAGCTTCTCAGGTGAGAGATGTGGCCCATGGGCGTCTTGTTTTTCTCATACCATTTAGAATGAAGCACATCCATGCCACCATTTTGATTATTTTATTGTCGTTGTTGTCAGGGTCACAACCCCACGTAGAGCCTCTGATCAGGAGATGACGGGATTCCACGCTAAAGATTACATCGACTTCCTGGCTTTACTCAGTAAACAGAGCGACGAGGAAAAATACGAAGAAGAGAGTGAACAGTATGGACTCAGTAAGCGTGTTTATTATCATTAGGTAACCTTCACATTTTATTAAACCCATAGTTTTTGAATTAAATAAAAAATTTCACTGGTCAAGTGGACCAGTGATTTAGTGAAATTCACTGGTCCACGCAAATATTCATTGGTCCATCACCATACATATTAAAAATCCTGAAAATTTTTAATTCCAATTAGGTATCTTAATCTACTGAATACTGGGTTATTTTCGCCCCATGTTATTTTCGCCCTTTCACACTTGCAAACAATTTTAGCCTGTTTTAAATTCGCCTGGTCATCGTTTTGTTAGCTCACCTGAGCCAAAGGCTCAAGTGAGCTTTTCTGATCACATTTTGTCCGGCGTCCGTCTAGCTGTCTGTCCGTAAACTTTTCAGATTTTCGACTTCTTCTCAAGAACCACTGGGCCAATTTCGACCAAACTTGCCACAAAGCATCCTTGGTTGAAGGGGATTCAAGTTTGTTCAAATAAAGGGCCATGCCCTTATTCAAGGGGAGATAATTAAGAATTAGTGAAAATTTGGTGGTATGTTTTAAAAATCTTCTTCTTAAGAACCACACTGCCAGGAAAGTTGAAACTTATGGGGAAACATCCTCAGGTAGTGTAGATTCAAGTTTGTTCAAATCATGTCCCCTGGGGGTAGGGCAGGGCCACAATTGCCGACCAAAGTTTTATATAGAAATATATAGGAAAATTCTTTAAAAATCTTCTTCTCAAGAACAGCAGAGCCATAATTGCTCATATTTATATGGAAGTATCCCCAGGTAGTGTAGATTCAAGTTTGTTTAAATCATGACCCCCGGGGGTAGGGCGGGGCCACAATGGCCGACCAAAGTTTTACATAGAGATATATAGGAAAAATCTTCTTCTCAAGAACAGCAAAGCCATAATTGCTCATATTTATTTGGAAGCATCCCCAGGTAGTGTAGATTTAAATTTGTTCAAAGCATGACCCCCGGGGGTAGGGCGGGGCCACAATGGCTAACCAAAATTTTACATAGAAATATATAGGAAAATTCTTTAAAAATCTTCTTCTCAAGAACAGCAAAGCCATAATTGCTCATATTTATTTGGAAGCATCCCCAGGTAGTATAGATTCAAGTTTGTTCAAATCATGACCCCTGGGGGTAGGACAGGGCCACAATGGCTGATCAAAGTTTTACATAGAAATATATAGAAACATTCTTTAAAAATCTTCTTCTCAAGAACAGCAAAGCCATAATTGCTCATATTTATATGGAAGCATCCCCAGGTAGTGTAGATTCAAGTTTGTTCAAATCATGACCCCCGGGGGTAGGGCAGGGCCAAAGTTTTATATAGAAATATATATGAAAATTCTTTAAAAATCTTCTTCTTAAGAACAGCAAAGCCAGAATTGCTCATATTTATATGGAAGCATCCCCAGGTAGTGTAGATTCAAGTTTGTTCAAATCGTGACCCCAGGGGGTAGGGCGGGGCCAAAATGGCCGACAAAAGTTTTATATAGAAATATATAGGAAAATTCTTTAAAAATCTTTTTCTCAAGAATAGCAAAGCCATAATTGCTCATATTTATATGGAAGCATCCTCAGGTAGTGTAGATTCAAGTTTGTTCAAATCATGACCCCTGGGGGTAGGGCGGGGCCAAACTTTTGGATTCAAACTTTTCAATAGTTAACCAATTACTACTTTTTCCTAGCCACAATGCTCGGGTGAGCGATGTGGCCCATGGGCCTCTTGTTTAAGAAATTATACCTTATTCTTTGAATTCGCCCAAATGAGGGTATGGTGAAAGGGGCGAATATTTCCCTGTATACAGTACTTTTTGTTGTATGATCCAATATTTGTTGTATGTAACTATAAATATTTATTGTCATCTGATTCATAAATATGTTTCACTTTTACTAATTAAAAGTTCATTAAAGAATAAATAATGAATAATATTTGTGCAAGTGAAATAAACAAAATAAGTTTATGGACTTAAACTTTATTTACCCAGTGTTCATATATTGTACATTTTACATCTTTACATAATCAATGCCTTGGGTTTTTACCCATTTTGTTTTGCAGTCACTGAGACTTCTAATGACAATGATACACATTTTGTAGTATTAAGCATTTTTTTTTAATTACAAACAGGGAAAATATTGTTTACATGTATTTGATTTTCTTCACTTTACCACTATCCCACTGAGCCACAAAGAGGTTGTCTCTGGTGTCTACACATAAACCATATGGACGCCATAGATCACAGTTATCAATGTAACGGAGGAACTGTCCGTCCTGATCTAGGATGTTGATACGGTGGTTGTTAAAGTCTGCTGTCAGGATCTGACTCTGGCTGTCTGTTGTGATGCCGACTGGATCAAATGATATCTTGTTAGTAGAGGGATGACCAGTGTATCTGAATCGGAGTTTTCCTGCCTGATTTACCACCACTACTGCACTGGCTCCATTGTCAGCCACACAGATATCCAGGTTCCTGTTCTCACTGATGTACTTAAGGTAGTTAGATGAATACAGAGGTTTACCTTCACTATCAAACTGAATGGTTTGTTTCTTTGTGGAGCCAGAGTAACGGACAACTTTTGTTTGGTTATAATCATCACTGAGCATGGTAACCAGTAGGTCACCAGAGGACGTACTACAGACATAGAAAGGTTTCCACCCCTGTAGTCTGATCACTTCCTGTATCTGCTCATTCTTCACCATGTTTACAGTTCTTGTATCAGGGTCAGTATAAAGTAGATTTCCATTCTTTGTCACTGCTATGTCACTAAGTTCATTCCCAGACTTGGTTTGGATTGACTTCAGTAGTTTACCCTTGATGTTGTAGAGTTTCAGGGTTTTGTCATTTCCACATGTCCAGATTTCTTCATCACTGAGACTGGTCACACTGTATAGTAATCCATACCCAGTGTTTATGGTGGTGTTGAGCTCTGGTTCATCAAGCAGTGGTTTGACTGGAGGACAGGATATAGCTTCTGGTGTCTCCGTTGTGTAGCCATGTTCTTCTGTTGTAATGGATAATGCTGACAGAGAACCAAACATTTGATGGAGTTGTTCTGTGTTGATCTGATGAGGTGAGAAACTTGGTAATGAAACATTGACCTGAGGAGGTAAACTTCTGAATTCAGCATTCCTTGATTTGTATGCAGAGGTTAGGGAGACATTATTGGAGTCCAGTATTTTCTTTAGATCAACTATGCACTGTTTTACTTCAGAAGTTATTTGTTTGATTTCATTTTCTTGTTTATTTAGAGCAGCCAGGTGTTTAGTTTTCATCTCATCAATTTCAGATTTCTGTTTGTTGACAATGACATTAATTTCTCTGTGCCAGTCTTCTCCATGTTTGGTGACAGCTGATGTCAGATTCTCATAATGTTTTTCCAAGTTAAGTTTTTCAGAGTTTAGATCTAATGAAATTTCTTCATATGCAGGATAGATTCTTTTCTCTAATTCTTGTAAGTCATTTTCTAAACCTTTTGTTTTGGAACCAAGTTTTTGCAGTGCATCTGTGAACTTATGCCCATGATGTTTATCAGAGGAGATGCAGGTAGAACAGACAGGAATGTCACATTTCTCACTGTAAAGTTCACAATGTTTCTGGGTGTGGTTTGGACATTTAGGGTAGTGAGGGGTAGATTTTCTGTGTTTGTATGGTACAACATTATGTCTTTTAGAAGAATCAGAGAGATGCTCCCCTACACAAGCCTTACACAGGTTAATCTGACAAAGTTCACAATGACTCTGTAATCCAGCGGTTTGACACAGGTCACAAAGGAGGATGTCTTGGGCACTGTAATGGGGGTCCATTATAGTATTCTTCTCACATGTCCAAGTCTATATGATGCTGTAAAATAAATTTGAATTCTGATATCTAAGTTTTATGCTTTAGGATATTCTTTTTTATGCTTTGTTTAATCAAAAATAAAAATATCAATCAATTGGTAAAAGTGAAAGATTTTTATAATATGATAATAAATTATGTGTAATGATGATGGTAAATGATTGCTTTGTGTAAGAAATTTTTATTAACTAAAGGATGAAAACCAGTTTATATAGAAAGGATGCTTGAAATTAATGAAAATGGAATGAAAACTAAAGAATGAGGATAATGAATAGATTTTGTTATTGTGGGGCTTTTTTTAATTAAAGGAAATTTCTATAGGTTTATGTTTAATATACATACTAAAAACTGTTTTTGTCACGTGACATTGTGAAAGAATATGTTTCTTAAGATCAGAGATTTTAAATAAAAAAAATTCAAAATATATTTATGCATGTGATTCTATTAAAAATTTAACATGGCTTACGTATTACATACAATTGTGATCTCAATTTTGACCTTAACATGATAAGACCTACAGTCAATGGACAAAAGTATTCGTCATTTTAATTGGCGTTGTGTTAATCGCGATGCCTCTTTCGGCTATTTTTTCACTTGCGCTATTTATAGAACAAACGAAATAGAATGAAACTTTCAATAAAGAGACTGGGGAAATTACGTCACGATTTTGTGACGTCATTTTGTCACTTGTGTGTCTGTAAACACTGGAAAACATCACTCGAAAACATGGGGCGAAAATCAGTTGAGTTGAGCACTGAGGTAAAAGAAATGATCGTAAAATCTGCAAACCACACTCCAAATAAAGCAGAACTGGCGAGAATGTTTGGTATACCAAGGTCAACAATCGTGAGTATTTTGAATAAATTTGACAGACTGGGTACTGTAGAAAACTTGCCGAGATCTGGCCGTCGACTTTTGTTTACAACTCGGGACAAGACGAAGTTAAGTCGCCTCGCTAAAGCAAACAGAAGGGACACTTTGACGGATTTAACAAACAAACTGAACGAAGGAAGAGGAAGACAATTTAGTGAGAAAACAGTATTTAGAAAATTACGTGAAGAAGGGTACAAAAGGAAACGTGCAAGGAAGACTATGGTGGTTCGATGTGTGAACAGAAAAAAACGGGTAAAATGGTGTCAAGAACGAAAAAACTGGAAAAGTGATAATGAATGGAAAAAATATATTTTTTCCGATGAAAGTCAGATTGTTATCGGGACAGATAACCGTGTGTATGTGTGGAGAAAGGACGCCGAAGCGAACAGTCCCCATTTGATTTGTCCGCCATCGAAAAGGAGGGTAACACTTATGATCTGGGGATGCATGTGTTTTGATGGTATGGGAACTATTGTACCTGTCGAAGGTAATATAAATGCACTCAAATACTTGGAAATAGTTGACAACAATTTATGGCCTGTAATTGCCAGACATTTCTCGAACAAAGACTATGTTTTCCAAGACGATAATGCTCCCGTACATAGGGCTCTCGTAGTGAAAAACTATATGACTGAAAATAATATTAACTGCACAGATTGGCCAGCTCAGTCTCCAGATTTAAATGTGATTGAAAACATTTGGTTAAAGATCAAAAGAGAGCTCAAAGGCATGTCCGCAACTATTGAAAGTCGCGATCAGCTGTTTGAGGCAATTAGACAAGTCTGGGAAAACATCCCCTTGGAATACGTCCACAGCCTCTACGCATCCATTCCAGATCGGATTAAAGAAGTAATCCGTATGAAGGGAAACCTGACCAAATATTAGGTAAGTTACTTTAATTTTAAGTATACAAATCTCCGTTTAAAACTTCCGTTGTGAACGTAAACAACGCGACGCCATTTTGAAAATGACGAATACTTTTGTCCATTGACTGTACATCGTCATATATATTCCTATATTGTTCCCTTTTCAATGGATTCAACTTTTTACTAAAACATTAACTTTAAAAATTTAGGTATAAGATAAGTTGCACAAAGAGATGTTTAATTAAATGATTAAATAATGGCTTACCTGTAAAATTCAACATGGCTCCCTATAGCTAACGACTGTCTGACAATCTACTTCCTGAGTCCTGTTCAGCAGAGCGAGCGTTCCCAAAATTCCTTATACCTCCAATAGTAATTTGGGCGAACGTTCGCTCTGCTGAACAGGCCTCTGGTGTCAGCCTGATGCTAGGTCATGTGATCTAAGCACCTGTATATGCTAAACCATGTGAATTAAATACCTGTATATGCTAGGTCATGTGATTTAAATACCTCTTCATATATACTATAGTTCTTTCAATAGACTTCCCATGGAAGAAAAATCACAATTGAATTTTTTTGAATTTTCATAAGTGCTGTTAAAGATACAATGAATTCTCACAGTAAGTTATATTGTAGTTGAATATTAAATCAAACATGAAAAACTTAGTTGGGGGGGGGGGGGGTACTGAGGGATAACATGGCACCCTGTTTCAGTTATTATGCTAGGGAAACAATTACAGATACAAGTATCTGTGGGAAAGAAAATAAGATTGTCCATGTCTCCAATAAAACCAGATTAAAATCCATGAAATGCATTCTATTCAGATTGGTAAATATGACATTTCAGTGCAGACATAAATATAACATTAGATTTTTTTTGGTCACTTGAGTCACTCTGTCTCACTCCACCATTTTTGTATGTTGTGCTTCATGTTTTAACATTTGGACATTTTCAGCATCGTCTTAGAACAGCTGAACCAGTGCCAATCAGATTTGATGGATAGGATCAACTGTAGAAGCACAAATTTTCGTGGGGATAAAATTTCCTTGATTTGTCATCAAAAGTAGTTTTGTGGGCAATTAATTTCTTTCTTTTGAAAGTAAACCTATTTCATGAGGGATTTAATATCATCTGAATATTTGTGCTTTTACAGTATATGTGAGAAACAAAAACTCATAATTTTATAGCCCCTGGGTCAAGGATTCTGGTGTTAGGGTAAATGCTGTGTTAAATATGTAGTGAAAAAGCTTTATTACTTTGAAATTTTGAAGGAAAAATATATGCTCCTTGGCATATTGGGCACATTGGAGGCAAACAGAGTAAAAGTTTTAATAAGCAAGGGAACAAGCAGTGGCAGTTTAGTGCTTTTAATTATGTTTAAAAAAAGTATATGCTAAATGATTATAAGATGTGTTGATAAAATATGGTTTCTTTGAATATCAACATTTAAGTGGCACATGAAACTAGAACAATGTCTCATGCTTTTCATCGGGTCATATACTGTACAGTATTTTTCAAGTGTAATATTAGTTTAGTAATGTTAAGGTCTAGACTAAGACAAGGTTACTTAAACTATCCCACTTAATATCCACAAAATATTCAGAGAGAATTGAGCATATTTTGACCTTGACATTTTTTTACTTTTTTTATGAAGCAAGTTCTATTAAAAAATTTTTTTGACCTTTTCAATTCTACTGAAAAGATAGAGGAGGTTTTATACAATCATCTTCTTATTGTTGTTGTATATAGTTTCAACCTATAGTTATATATTATGATCTATTGTCTTTTGAAAGATTTTTTTAAACAAAAGTGAGTAAAAACTAGCATTCAAGAAAAGGGGAAAGACATTTATCAATATTTTATACATATTCTGACCATTTCTTTTACCATTGTTCCTCCTATTATAGCCTATGACTGCCCGATCAATCGTCACGTTTACACATACGCTTCTTTGACCAGTGGGGCATCACTCAGGGCCGCTGAATGTCTGCTGGAGGGGCGGAGTCAGGTGGCAGTCAACTGGTGTGGGGGATGGCACCACGCTAAGAGGTAAAATACACCCCCTGAAGGAGCTGTTTTATGTAGTGTGTTTGTGTGCATATAAAAGTGGGAAATTGATAAGTCGTATTATTTGTTTGTTGTTTTACGTCCCTGTCAAGAATTTTCATGTAAACATGGAGAGGTTACACTTTGGAGGTGATGCATGAAATGTTTGTCCAATGCTTGGCAAACAGGGCCATTGAACAGTGTTCATGTGTCTAAGATCTTAGCTTTGGTTGCAAAACCAAAAAAGTTAATGGGTTAGAAATTCTACATTAGGTTTATACTGTTAGGGTCTTTGAAGAGCTCTCCGAAATAATTTTGATTTTATGTAAAACCTGAGAATTGTGCCTAAAATTAATTTCAGGAAGACAATTTAATGGAAACAATGCTGCAAAAGACAATTATTGAATATTGATCCTTTAGACAGTTTTTCTGTGCCTTGTTCATTCCTTTGATGTGACATGAACTTTGTATAAACCCTATATGGATAGCTGGATTAAAGAGGAATTTTTAATTTTTTTCAGACACACAGCATCAGGATTTTGCT